CGATCTCACTAGTTACCGATTATCTCGGTATTTTATTAATTCACATACCCCCCCGCCCCCAGTCAACGTATCGGCAATGAACCAAAAATAACAATGTTTAGTTACTGTAGCGAACTGAATCTTAGCTATAATTACTGACATTATTTTCATTACCGTTATTATTAATCATTATTCTTGCAATTGTTATTATTCATCCGTCGCCCCCCCTCCTCCCGCCCTTGGAATTTTTCTCTTCACGCCCCCTTTCCCCTGATTTACTGAGCATTGGCAGACGAGCGTGGACCACCCTCCAGCCAGTCGTTGAGTCACTTTTGGACCAATGGTGGGCCTTCAGCTTTGGCTTCTATGGTCAGTCCAATGGTGGATAAAGATCGTCCTACCCGATGTTTGGTCGAAAAAGGGCAAACCGAGCGTGGACCAGTAATTGTCGTCCCATGAACATCTGTCAATCTCAGCTACTCATTGCCCACCAAGCTGGGGCGAAGGCTTGCCATCCCTCGCTGACCAACTATTGGTGGCCAGTCTTGGCCCATTTCTGGCCCGCGCCTGGTAACCCAAACTCGATTTTCAACATTGGTTGAAGCCTGGCTTAACCATTGGCTGAAATATGGCCCAAGCTTGGTTACCAAAGCCTAGGCAAGTCTAGGTTGAGCCAAGCTTGGACCGGTGGTTCGAGCTTGGCATTCCTGCCTGGGTAAGAACATACCTCTTACAGGCCGGAAAATGATCTTATACGATATTTCAATGCGTACGATATTCTATGGTAATTTAACTATCCCGGAATTGCATGAAACTTTCAATGCATTTCATATTCACACACACAGGAACAGAAAAATGTGTGAATTTCTATAGCCCAGGCAAATTACGGTACTTAGTTCCGTAAATCTTAACGGGACGGGAAGGTACAATTCTAACCTTGCTTCGCCCGGTTAGATCGCAGTTTCCAGTCACTACGAGAATAAAATATCGTGTGCCTCACAGAAATACAGTATTTTCTAACTCATGTGATTACACTCACATTTCGTCAGAAAATACTTTACACCCTAGAGGTTGTGACGAGGCAGAATTTTGCGCCCCCCCCCTGCCCCCTAATTAATACAGCTTATTTTTCCTAGGTTAAGTTAGGTTTAAGTTACTCCTTTTTCGCCACCGTTGGGCAA